ATTGCTGCTGACGATTTACCATTACTTGGTCTACTCTCTCACTGCGGTTATTCCCTACCGTTAAAGCACCCTCATATTTTTCCCGAAGGCGAGACGACGGGAGCCGGCGGGGATGGGAGGCTTCGGATGGGAAAAGATGCGTATATGCATGTACGTGTGTCATATGCAAATATGCATGTAGGTATAAGTTGCCTAGCAATGCAGGTGGTTCTATTAGGGGATTAAATCTGCAATTTTCGATCACGGGGATGGTTCGCTCACTCTCAACTAACACAGTAACCAGCTAAAATTCGCCGCTTCTCCGTTTACGTGGTAAGGCTAAAAGCTCATGAAAGACAAAAATTGCAGACAAATGAAAATTCAAAACTGTTGGAAAATCGAAATATACTGATTTAGAAGCGAAACAGTGCAGTAATAAGGAGGGGCAGTTCATGAAATCAGCACCTCGCCGAATCTATGTGCGCTACTGTTGCCCAGCGAACAAAAGGCCAGAACTGGTTATGTCACGCAGTTTAGTGAGCAGAGTGCAATTTCCGCAGATTAACTAAGTTACTGATTAATTAATTCTTGAATCTGATGCCAGGAAAACGATCGCCGAGTCATCGCAAATGAGTCATTTGTTGATGGCTTGCCAAGTCACTTATTTGGCGAAAAAGCAATTTTGAGGCATTATATAAAGCAGAGAAGTGGCCCTCTGATCCATGTTTTGAAAACATCCTTCCAGAAGCAGTTTTATCGGCTGTCCTAATAACTCTCAGTAATTTTAAAATTATTCGCTGCTCACAGTATTTTTCTCGTCGGTGCTTCTCGTTTTTATGCGTCTTTTTGTTGCAACAGCTGCAAAAAACACAAAATTCTCCAAATCTGTGTACGTGTATTGTTGTGTGTTCCGACGTTTTATTTTTTCTTTTTTTCCGAGCAGATTTGAGTTGCACTGTAATAGGAACGCCGAATTTTAAAGGCGTTGTATTCCTGAGGAGTGCTCACGAAGTGCTGCTACCTAAAAGCAGTTTCAGGATCGACGAGCTTCGAAATGCAGCGCAATTCAGATCGAATGAGCTCGGTGCTTTTCAAATGCGCACTATTAGGAGTGATGCTTCATATGGCGCACAGCGCTGCGATAAGCTCATTCAACGGCAACAGAGCTGGTGATGCGGTCAGTCTGGATTGTTTGATATCTAATTATTTATCCAGATTTCCAATAAACGGAAAATTCACAAAGCCGTTCGTGCTTGACCAACAGCCTGTCTACTCAACTTTTTCCTTTAGTTCAAATCAAATTTTGAAAAACATTTCTCGACCCTGCGATACCTTAGTTCCATTCTCATACGAGATTTTTATTTTGATTGTTGCTCAATCCGGTTTCATAATGAAAAAAGTAAATGTAAGAAAATTTGATAAATCCGTATGATTATATTATTTTTTTCCGAACAATTCCTATTAAAACTTTCGCTTTTCACAAAAAAATTTTTTTCCGCTTTTCACACCCTTGCTAAAATTTTAATTTTAAGTTCCTGTTATTGCACATTCCTCTTATTTTAATTTTATATATATATTACCGCAGCAGTCACATTAATGAAATCCAATTGTGGCACTGAGAATAAATGTATATGCCTCAGTGGATCAAAATATTGTTTTCAGCTTCTTGAATATTTTGTCTTTCATTTTATGTCGTCATTTTCATTTCACGAATATCATTATTAAATTAGTAATATTTCAAATTAGGTAATTGTAATTATCATCATTTTCGTCATTATTACCGTTGTTATTACTATTACTTCGTTTTTCATCATGATTATTACCATTTTATCCTTATTTCTATCTCTTTTACTTATTACTAAAATTTAGTTTTCAGGCATTTAATGACAATGCAAACAGCATTAACTCGATGAAAAGAATTAAAGGGGCGCAGGAGTCGTTCAACAGCAACGCCGTTAGCAGCAATGTAATGCTTCTGTTTCATCGTTCTTTTGTGTCTCATTGATACTTACTTCTCACAACACAGAACTTTTTTACAAATTCGTTAAAACTCCGGTTTTTCAGTCAATGAACAATAACGCTAACGATCACGGTGTGTCAGATGATATCGCTGTGGCTGCTCCTGTTCCTCCTGTTCCTCCCGTTCCTGCTCTTCCTCCTGTTCCTCCAACTGGAAATGCTGGGGCAGCCGGTGCTTCTGATTCGTTCAACGTTAATCTGGCCGGAAATGAGGTAAGCAGCATTACTTACTTATTCAGTAGATTTGACTGTGCGTCGGACGGTACTCACAAGGAGTAATCCACTGATTCTACGTACTTCAACCGTGGCAGGATTTCGGAGAAAAGTAACTGAAAGAGGCCAAGTATACGTCACGAATATCAGTGATGCGACTGAAACATACAAGCTGCTTCTGTAGTGGCATCGCAGCATCACAAGATAATGAATATGAAGAGTTCAATTTTCACCTGGCCAGCCTCGTAAAAGGGACTGCGTTCGGACAGTTGTACCTAGAAATCACTAAATAATGCGAAAGTGAATTCAGTACGTATCAGCATTTAGCTGGCCATGCAGATAGATTAAGTCAGTTTTTACAGTGTTAGGCCCGGTAAACTAACAAAGCCTTAGTCAATCAAAAAAACTCAACACACACACACACACAAAATAATTCAGTAATTCAAGGTTTCATATTCAGCATTTCGCCCATATACCAATCGATCATAAACAAAATAAAATACAAGAGAGGCGCGTATTCCTGTTGCGCTGCTGCGGCTGCGCCATTCTCTCTGTCGACTAGCCCTGTGTGCTGCTTGAGCACCACTGATCGCACTGATGCAGTACTGCTATCTCACTGGTCCGTTCTGTCTTATATAAGCAAATCAAGACTTGTCAGCCCGATTACTCGCACCTTCCTGATCACAGCAACAGCACATCTCCGAACTTGACGCCATAAACAACCTTGCCAGGAAATGGTTGCTTTTAAAAACAGCGCATATCTCCTCTCGGTCGATATGCAGGAATTCAAAGCTGTTTTAAAGTTAAAATATCGGCAGAAGTTTGCTTTTGGATAGTTTTTACCGGAATTTTATGGTGGCATTCTCAAAGCAGCAAGCAAAGTTATGAAAAATAGGCTCGGATGTTGGTGCTTCGATTGTATAACTTTAACTAAAGACTGAAACTGTTTCAGTCGCTGAACAATAATGCCAACGGAGTAAGAAGAATATTGGGCAGGATACGACAGCTCATTAACGGAAGACAATATTAGTGCTGTGAAATTAAACCCAAACGACGAACAATGAATGTTTTTTTTCCTACTCAATTATCTGTACATACTCAATGATTTTATGATAAAAGCATTTCTTAAGGAGAGGAATGGGGAAGTATGAGAAGAAGGGAAAACTACACAAGAAAGGTAGGGATGGGGAAAGCTGGCAAGGGTGGACGCACTGTAGAAGAGAGCGATCATGAGAGGTTGATAACCTAGAGGTGATTTATCCGAGGTCTTTAAGAACGAAACCTCTCGTTCCAGAAGCCAAAAATGTCCTCGTTTTTTACAGCATAGAGCCTCTCGTAAACTCTATCGAAGCATGAAAATTGAATAATTGTTCAATAATCCATATTTTCTGAAGGATAAGGTAGGATCGTGCGAGGCTACAAGCCTGAGGTTAGTTGCTGTTGGAGGGTTGATGAATAACTTCAGTTTAGACCTGCGTTATCCTTGACCAATCATATTTTATGCTCACCAACGAACTGAGAGCACAGGAATGAATTTATTTTAATCCATCCAGAACAAGCTGAAAACAACGGATTAAGTGGGGATAAAAGGTCAGAAGTTATGAATTATTGAATTCTCTGAATAAAATCGGTCACATGCATTCAGTAAAATCGATTCTCCTTTGGAAATGAACGTAAAGCAAGAAAACACTACCTGGCCCTTCATAACTATTAACAAAAACAATAAAAAAATGCTTGCAATAGTTTTTCCCACGTGATTAGGCTTATTGCAAATTCCACCAAAACCAAAACACGCTGATCCTACAAACTATCAAACGCAAAACAAACCCAAGCTGGAACGCACCAGGCGGGCCGGTGCGATTATACGTTTTTGCACTTTTCGTGCCATAGCAAGATCGCAAGGAATCACAGTAGCTAACCCTGTGACATACTGGCCCTCGAAGTTCGGGAAGT